CATCTTTCCACAGGCCGACATGGCAATCAAAGTTCAAATGTTTCAAAGGACCCCATAACTCTATAATATAGATTTATAAAAATTATCACATTTGAGCCGTTTAGAACTCAGAGGGAAATCAGTATTGAAATGCTGGCAAATTACCAACTGGACAATGCATTCAAAGGAGACTCTGCGAAGAACTCTTCGAACGATGTGCTCAAGAAGCGTAACAATCCCCGTGCAAGGTGCAGGGGCGTGATGGGCTGCGAGTAAATATATGGTCGACTGTCCATTCAACAGAATGTGCAATTGAAAATGATGTGCCTCTCAAGCACATGCACGCGGGCTTTCATAAACACTATTCCATGGATCGAGCTGTCACGTCGCCCACTCAACGAATACAACCACGAACGTGCTGCGTCAAGACACAAGAATCCTCGCTTCTTTTAGAGAAAGGCATCTCTGTATGGCCATCCCACCAAGCCAAGCTCTACGAAGTACCGTTCCTGCTTGCAACAGAGTCGACGCGGGATGCTTGGCGTTCTGGGGCACTCGACGACCAGCACTTTATGACACGGCAAGGGAAAACTGTTACAATGAATAACCTCTCTATTTGGATGAACGGTAAAAAAATCTCTGTTCGTCAATTCTCATCGTGCCGGACATGAAGCGCCCGAGGCAGCACGAGGACCGGCACTTGGACGAGTCTGACGTGTTCAAAGTGGCCCAGTACATCGCGGACGCGTCAACGATGTTTGCGTTCCTCGACGTGATGCACCCTCTCAATATGCTTGGGCCACTGGACCACTTGTACCAACTCGGATTAACATGGAACCGCGCAGAGCTATGGCCAGTGTTGACCGTTCGGCGTTGTAGTGACACCGATACATTGCATCTGGCGGCGATTCTCAAGTTCTACGCTCGCGTGAATGTCGCCGACTCCAGTTGCGACTTGGACTGGGTCGACCATCATGTTTCTCCTCACGCCGACTTGTCATGGACCGTGCTCCCTGAAGCGCCATCGTCTGACATCGCACTGGATCAAGCATGGTGGGCAAGGTGGGCGTCACATCGTATCACGAGGGTGGATATCCATTGCCATCAGTCGAATGACGACATGATTCAAGCGCTGGTAGCCGTGCTCCCTCGATTCACCTCGTTAACCTCGTTGAGTGCATTCGCTTGCAACGCTCAGGTCGCGGCCAAATTAATTGCTGTAGCCGCCACGAGCCGTCAACTCAAGGCGCTCACGTTCGACGGCGCATCCACCGTTCGTGTGACCACCTCGTTGTGCCAACACATCCTTGCTTGGTTCTCAGCGGTCCCAGTTCGCAAGTTCCATGTCAGCAAGTGGCGTCCAAAATGCGACGATGTCGCTGCAGCGCTGCTCCAGCAAGTGCACTCGGTCATGTTCAATTGTCCCAGCTTGGATTCGTTGGCGTTCCAATGGTCCGTGCTGCACAGGGTGGTTGACGTTCCTGCGCTCACTTTCCCGATGCGGTCGCTGACGTTTGCAAATACCGAGTTGGGGTCGGCCTTTGTGGATGCCTTGGTTGCGAGTTCCCCGACGTCGACCGTGGCGAGGATGGTGTCCCATGTTCAGGACGACCAGTTTATCGAGCTCGAGCGGCTCGTCGAAGCGCTGCCAGCCATGCCATCGCTTCAGTCGTTTGAGATGGGATGCGGCCAACAAACGTCCAAGACATGGGCTCGATTCTTTCGCAAGCTTGTGTCATGCCGCGTGACAGAGCTGACGGTGCGCATAACAAAGCTGCCCCGACAATCCACCCTCGAACTGGCCTACGCCATTGCGAAAAACAAAACGATCCAAGTCGTGCATGCATTCGTCGCCGACGCCGTGTTTCAAGACGTGAAGAACCTCATCGAGATCACCACAGGCAATGAACGACCCGTCCAGATGACGGAGATAGACATCGGCGAGTCGAAGCTCGATGCAAGTGAATTGGCTGCGCTCACGGCTTTGGCTGCGCGGCGCCATGTGACCTTTCGGTTCCAGCGTCCTCGTCACAGTAATCGTGCTGCGTCAAGGTCGTAATGTTGTACCAGCCAAGAATTCATGTGGTGGCGACAACGGGCATCGACGTGGTCCTACAGACGAGCTCCACACGTCACGATGGATGGAATTGTTGCTGTGGCAAAGGGTAAGGATGCTAGATGCATTTACCTGGCCTTGCTCTATGTGGCTACCGGCGGAATACTTGCCCAACCTGCCACGCAAGGAGCATCTGTGGACATGAAAATAGGGAAAAGGAGCATCTTGAGCACGATTTCGAAGCGTTTGGAAAGTTAACGGCCGAGTGTGCCGAGACGCAAATGCACTTTCAACCACGGACACTGAGGCCGACGTTGAGCAACTGATTGGACGAAGAATTGTGGCGTGGTGGACAGAGGAGGTCGCCACGTGCTGACTAAAGGTGCTCTAGTGCTGTAAACGAAAATGCATGGCTTCCGCGAGGAGTTGAGTGGATGGTTGTCCTGAGGTCGTGGGTCGAAAGCTGACAAGTCCACTGGCGAAGCCGAATGAACTGCCGTTGTTTGTACCTCGTGGCGGGTTGAGCAGACCTCCGGCGTGGTTTTGATGATGGTTCCATTCGAGCCCATCAATTGCGCCCTGGTGACATGCAAACAACCAGTACCAGCGCCGTACAGAACGGGGGACACGCTGTTGAGCATTTGGCCTCAGCCCTTGACATGGCTGTCCAACCGCTCGGTGGTCTTCTTGAGGTCAACCAGCTAGTCTTCCAATGCATGAACTGGTTTATTCAGCATTGCACACGACGCGCGCCGCCAACACGACGACGAAGCATGGCCACCACCAAACCTGTCAGAGTTTTCGGAAAGTCCCACTTCAACAACATACACTCTACTTTCTGTGGTCACTAGAACGGCATGGACATTTGAAACGTGTGAGTTTTTTTCGGATGGAGTGCGGTC